CCCCAAAACCCCAAAACCCCAAAACCCCGACTAACTGATATTAGTGATATTTTATGAAATTAAGAATAAATTATCTATAAATAATTATCAGCCTTCGTTAGCTATATTAGATTTTTAATCTTACTTCATGCAGTTCATTTAAACCTTCTGGACATTGATGAGGGTTTTCTGCCGTGACTATTTAGCACAGGCTTCTTTATTTTTCTTTCTTAATCATCGTAGTTATCTATATTTGCTTCATCATCAAAATCTAGATTCTGCTTAAAATGGGCCTCTAACTGATTATCTGACTTTGTTTTTTCTAGCACTAATTAAGAGAACTGCGAGATTCTTTTCGATTTCCTTTACTATACAGGACTATTTGAAACATGTGTCTGCATGTATTGATGATTAATATTTTAATGTTTTGAGAGATTATGTCCAAAGTCATGCTCAGTTAATAGATTTTTTGGAGAAAAATCATTGTTCCCCAATGTATTTATTTAACCCATAGTGTAATTATTGGGATTAGTAATTATTATTTCTTGGGTTTCATTAAAACCACCAGGACTACTCTACCTATAAAAGCTTGAATTATTTAATTCTTGGTTGCTCTTAAATCTCTCATAATCAGTTCCTATTGATTTAGAATTATTAGAATAATCTCTTGAATCTCCTTATGATAGCTGTATATTTTAAGGGCTATCATTCCTTGTTTTTTAAGGACTTTACTTCTTACTCCTATTTTTCTCTATTAAACTTAACTCAAAGCTGTTATGCTTAGTAAACAAAAAGTGAATCAAGAATCTAAGAAGTAAATTCTGATTTGATTCACCCACTATTTCAAGTTATGGAGATTTTCCTACCACCTCATACTCTAAGAGTTGATATTTTAGAACTCTTTTAAGCTTAGGCTATCCTTTTTTATTAGTAGGCCTCTGTGGATCTTCTAATATTTAGGATCTGAAAATAGAGGAGGATTTATCATAAAATCCATTATCATCAGCTATCTAATTTTTAGACGATTCTTTTGAGTCTTGAGAGCTTTCATAATTGTCATCAAAGCTCATTTCATCATGGTCATCATCTGATTCGCTATCTGATGAAATTACATCATTATCAGATTCCTCAGCACTTAAATATGGATTTGAACTTGATGTCTGATTGACTCTCTATATCATAGTTTATTTTCTATGACTATCTATGGTTTTGCTAGATTTTTAAACCTAATCTCTTTATCCACCTTGAACTTACTACTGATTTGCTCCTTATTTATTTTAGTTTTAATCAAGGTTTTTAGACTTCTTCTTCTATTTCTTTTTCTTTTAAATAGGTTGATCCTCTTAATTAAAACCTCTTTAAATAATATCAATCTCATTTTAGAGATCGTCCTTAATATTGCTGGTATCATCAAACTTAATCTTGGATCCTTATGGCTGATTCTTTGGCGTTTCTTGAAATTATAAAGGTAGATCTATATCTTGAGCTTACTTCTTCATAGTCTAGAGAAACTTTCCATCTCTAGACATTGATTTTCTCATTTCTTCTTATTTTTCCATAGTTATTTAAAGAATAGACAGTTTTTTTAGTTCTGTTATATAAAGAATAGAATCTCTCATTTTGCTCTAAAATTTTCTTGATAGTTACATTGTGAATACCCAATCCCTTCTTGAAGAGTCAGAATCTGTTCCAAGAACTAGCTTGTTCATCTTTTGAGTGAAAATCCCTCTTTTTTTGAAATTCAACTAGAACATGTACTTATTATTTTCACTAATGCCAAGCTTTGATATTAGCTCAACCTCACAATCTTGTAAGTTAATCTCATCTTTCTTTTTTAGTGTAAAGATCATGAGTCTACCAGAGTCAATACATAGCAGCATCTTTTAATAAGATTATTTATCAAACATTTTCAACTTTTATTCCTCAGTCATATTTTAAACTTTTTGATAATCAGTATACTTGAGATCACAAGCATCTAGTACAACCTTAAAGTAAACTTAATTTGTAACTTTATGTTTCAGCTCTTATTCAAAATACTATGCCTCCTTAAAAATATCTAGTACATCATTTAGTATACGTTCCTCGTACACGTATCTCAAGCATAGATATTTTTATAGATTAGCTTAATTATTAGTCTTAATTACAGCTTCATTCATGAATTTATAAGGTATAAGAAGTAATTGCTGATTTTCATTTATTTTGGCTCTTCTCATTTCTATCATATCCAAGAAATTATTATCAAATATCTTTACTTTAGGCCTGAAAGATTTCAAAACTTTTGTCCCTTCTCTCACAAACTTATTTATGTCAATGTAGTAGAAGTTATAGGTCCATTTCTATTTATATTTCATGCTTTTCCTTAGCAGAAAACCACGTGCCTTTAAAACATTATTTTTTATGACTGATTAATCAAGCTTTCTTAGGACAAGCTAAGGCATTGATAGGGAAAATGTTTTCAATGCCTTTTCTGTGCCTAGATTATTTTGAGAATGAAAATTTAAAGTTTTTGTCAAGTCAGTATTTCTTGAATTCATTATATTTGCAACTGACAAAAAAGCTTTACTCTTTTATACTTATCCTTATATTTTAACTTTCTTCTCCTCCTCGTTATCTGAGAGGTCACAATCTTCTTTTTTATTTCTAGATGTTTTAAATCCACTCTCAGACCAGACACTTTACTTAAGATTAGGCATAGTCATGGTAGAAGATAACTTAAGGCTTTCATCATCATTATCGTCTATAATTTGTGGCTTTAATATATCAGTATTTCTAAGATTCAGTATGCTCTTATCATTACTTTTAAATTGCTAAAAAATTTTGCTCTGTGATGGCTAATAAAATCTATTCACCTGTAACTGTTTCTATTATTCAGATTATTTGATTAATGCTTCCTAATTTGAATTATTCTATTCTTTGTTTTTTAAAGCGGCATTCCTTTTTTTTTAAGGTGTTTTATCTTCATCACTGCTACTCGATTCTTCAAATAAATCATCATCTTTTTGGGTAGAGTAACAACTAATTGAATCCTTTATTAATAAATTTAGGCTGAATATATCAATTCTGAAGAAATGTTCATTTTGATGAAGTATCTCTGAAATCTGATAATAAAATTTCTTAACAAACTCCTTAAATTCGTAATTTTTAACATCCGGGTCAGTAAATTAGAACAGCCAAAAGATCTAGGCAACACTTAGCGGAAAGAACTCTTTCATTCCATTCACATATTCAATTACTATTATCAATTTGTATTAGAGAGTATAAATTTACCTGAACTTGGAGTAAGTAAGATCTCTTCTTTCGTAAGTACCCTAAAAATATCTACACATAGTCTGAACACTATTGCTGGATATGGTATAATGAAAGGCGTGAGATAGTTGTGGTTAAATTAAAATGTCCGCAAAAAATCTAAAATTTGAATGAATAATTATATCTAATTTACCAGCAAACGTAATTTAAGGCACTGAACTATAGTGGCTTGTAGGTTTACTGTCGTTTAGAAATTAAAAGTAATCCAGAAGTTCATCCTAAACAAAAAATGAGAACAGATTTTAACACTAGATTCATACTTTTGTACATTAGACATTTATATGAGATAAAAATATCCCGAATTCATCAAGATCCATTTAATAGTCTTCCTTAGACTCTATCTATGTTATGATGTAGTTATATTCCTCATAGAGATTCTAGATGGTTGGCATGAATTTGAATAGTTCTAATAATTTTAAGATGGTCAAATCATTTTACTCTAAGTGATATTATTGGGCAAATTGTCTAAAGCATTTTCCTAAATAGGTTACATCACTGGTTTGTGCTTCTCAAATATTGTTCCGATAGATTACCCCCCAAAAGAAGGTCAAACATTGTTGCCTAAGTCGTCCAGTCTAGACTTCCTTCTAGTCGCTCCTAAACTTTATCTCTATGAATTGGAAAATGTAGAGTTTTTGCTTTGAGAATATGACATTGATTGATGATTTATAATAAAAATTTATAGATCTTTATTTTATCTATATAATTTAATTGTTTTCATGCATAATACATGGGGTTTTGGGGTTTTGGGGGTTTGGGGTTTTGGGGTTTTGGGGTTTTGG